CCTTTCAATCTGTGTGTGTTCTACTGGTGAAATGAGTTTCTTGTAGGCAGCATATTTTTTTAAAGATTTATTTATTTACTTGAAAGAGTTATACAGAGGAGAGAGAGAGAGAGAGAGAGAGAGTCTTCCATCCACTGGTTCACTCCCCAATTGGCCACAACGGCCGGAGCTTTGCTGATCTGAAGCCAGGAGCCAGGAGCTTCTTCCAGATCTCCCGCATGAGTGCAGGGGCCCAAGGACTTGAGCCATCTTCTACTGCTGTCCCAGGCCACAGCAGAGAGCTGGATCAGAAGTGGAGCGTCCAGGACTCGAACAGCTGCCCATATGGGATGCAGGCACTTTACCCACTTTACCCAGGTGGCTTTACCCAGGTGGCTTTACCCACTATGCCACAGTGCCAGCCCCAGCATATTTTTTTAAAAAATCCATTCAACCAATCTGCATATTTTAACTGGGGAATTGTCCATTTACATTCAAGGTTTATAATGATAAGTAATGATGTGGTTCTGCCATATTTCCTTTAAATTCATTTTGTTTATTTTGAATATCTTTTGTTCTTTTTCTAGTAGTTTTCATACTTCTTTCCTAATGAGGATTACGTTTCCTAGTTTCTGTATGGAGTACGTCCATAAGTATCATTTGTAAGGCTGGTCATGTGGTAGTGAATTTCTTCAGTTTTTGCTTGTCTTGGAGTCTTTCTTTCTCCTTCAATTATGAAACAGAACTTCACTAGGTAAAGCATTCTTGGTCGGACAATTTTATATTCAGGACTTGGACAAAATCTCTCTAGTTAATCTGATTAGAAATCCTTTCAATGTGACCTGACATTTCTAAAATCAGAATTCTCCCTGTGTGTTGTACACTTGAAAGCTTGACTGCAGTGTATTGTGGTGAGGTTCTCTTCTGACCACGTCTAACTGAGTTCCTCTGAGTGTCTTACGTTTGGATGTTCATATCTTTCTCCAAATTTGGGAATTTTTCTGCTATTTTTCACTGAACAAACTTTCTAAGCCATTCTTTTTTTTCCCCGTTCCTTTGGAGACTCCCAAAACTCAAATGTTGGTTTGTTTGATGGTATCCCAGAGACCCTGAACATTGTTTACGTTCTTCTCAATTCTTTTTTTTTTCTAGTCCGTCTGAGATATTTCAAAGGCCTGTCTTCAGGATAAGATATTTGTCCTCTGCTGGATCTAGTCAGTTGTTGAAGTTTTCAACTGCTTCTTGTATTTGACTCATTTCTACTATTTGTGTTTGAGTCTCAAGACTTATTTCTCTTTGCTGAAGTTCTCTTTCATATCATGCATTGATTTCCTAATTTCATTTAACTGTTTATCAGTAGTCTTTTTAATCTCTGAGTACCCTTATTATACTCATTCTTTTGAATTCTTTGTCAGGGATTTCATCGGTCTCCCTTGTTTCATGGTCTGGTACTAAAGTGTTGTTGTGTTTGTTTAAGGAATAACGCTGCCTTGATTTTTCATGTTTCTTGTGTTCCTGTGTTGACTTTGGGGGAGGATCTGGGGTTCAGTTATTTCTCTTCCTTGTGAAGGATGACTTTCACGGACTGAGCAGTTTTCTGAAGATGTGCCTTTAGGTGTGGATTTGGTAGCCTATTTCAGCTTTCGTTCTAGTTGGTCTCCACAGTACAATCTCCCTGCACCTGTTTTTGCCATACTCATTCGCAGCAGTTGTAGGGATTTGGAATGTTCCTAGGTCCCAGGGTCCCAGGGCAGTTGCTCAGATCACCATTGCACAGGTCCCCAACTGTCTTTCCAAGGGGTACTGGAATCATGATCCTGGGTGTTGGGAGCAGGTCCTTGCTGATGCCACAGATGAGCCTGACACACAGGCTCCCAGGCAGAGCTGGAGCTGGAGATCAGTACCCACTCTGGGAGCTGGCTGGGCTCAAGACTCCCAACCACTGCTGGACTCCAGGGCCCCAAGAGTAGTTCTAATGCTGAGCAGGGTAGGCAAGTTTCCAAGACACTGTCTGAGTGAGTGGCTGGATTCTCAAGAGTGACATTGGTCAGCGCCGCGGCTCACTAGGCTAATCCTCCGCCTTGCGGCGCCGGCACACCGGGTTCTAGTCCCGGTTGGGGCGCCGGATTCTGTCCCGGTTGCCCCTCTTCCAGGCCAGCTCTCTGCTGTGGCCTGGGAGTGCAGTGGAGGATGGCCCAGGTGCTTGGGCCCTGCACCCCATGGGAGACAAGGATAAGTACCTGGCTCCTGCCATCGGATCAGCGCAGTGCGCCGGCCGCAGCACACCGGCCGTGGCGGCCATTGGAGGGTGAACCAACGGCAAAGGAAGACCTTTCTCTCTGTCTCTCTCTCTCACTGTCCACTCTGCCTGTCCAAAAAAAAAAAAAAAAAAAGAGTGACATAGGCCCTGAGACAGCAGAGAAAGCATCCCCAGACCCCTCTCTGTGGGCTACATGCTAAGCTAGGAGAGGTACAGGAATGCCAGGCCATAGCCCTGAGCAAACAGCAGCACACTAGCCTTTTAGAGGTAAAGAAACCGGGCAGCTTCTGAAGAAGGGACTGGAGCCCTGAGATCTGTGATGGACCTGGGCAGGCAGGATACAGAAATCCATACCCAGAACTCCCAGTAACGGAGCTGTATGCTGGGCTAGGTGTGGCCCAAAAAACCTAAACCAGAGTCGCAAGTGAGCATGCAACGTGTTGTGCTGGGAGGGACAGAGAAAGCCCGTGCTGGATGCAAGGGAGAGCGCTGAGACCTGGACTGAGCAAAGACTGGAAACCCAGGCTGCTGCATGTGGGAGGGGAAGAGCCTAGAGTGATGCCCAGGATCGGAAGGTGCAGAGATCTGGCTGCTGTCAGTGGGAGAGAGCCACGCAGCATAGACCTCAACCTGCAGCCTCTTAGCTCTGCTGCTGTTGGGAATGGGGAGGGTGCACTACCCATTCCAAGCTCACTGCTCTGAGTCTGTTGACCCCCCACCCCAGAACACTGTACAGGGTGTGGGGACACTCCCTGCTGCACACTCAGACCCTGCTGCAAGAACTGTCCCCAGTGCACAGGCAGCTCGGAGCCTCTGTGGGCGGATGGGGCAGAACCGTGGGAACCCTGACTGGATCACACAGATCAAGTGGCTGCAAGCAATGTTGTGAGGAAAGGTGGCAGGGGAGGCAGCGGGGAAGAGGGCCATCTCCTTCTCTCCAGGGTCCTGAGGGCTGGGTATCCTAGTTGTCCTGCTGCTGCTGTCCCCTGAGGTGCAGAATGCCGCATGGGCTAGGGTGCTGGGCTCATGCAGGTGCTACCAGGTCCAGCTGTGGCTGTGAGGCTCAGTCTTCCTGCCAGGAGCCAGAGATGTGGGCAGGGTCCCTGGGAAGGAGACCTGCAGAGACCTCTGTCTCCTAGCCCAGTTCGGATTCCTGCAGTGACTCCTTTGTCCAGCTGGAAGCCACTGTGGCTCCCTGTGCTCTGAGGATGGAGAGGGAGTGGAAAGTGTGGGTTGCTCTCTGAAGCATCTGGGAGTTTTCCAGGGAGCTCTCCTGGTCTGGGGGGACGGATTTCTCTCTACAGGGGACTGGGGCTCCCCTGCTCACGCCTCCTCCTGCCTCAGGCAGTCCCCCCAGCTAGGGGGCCAGGTATTCAGTTCCCAGGTGGCCTTGTGCCTTTCTGTGCTGCCTTGCCTGGTCTCTGAGACCTACTGTGCCTCAACTGTTCCCTTACTCCGTTCAGGTGCTCACTCCAGATGTGACCACTGGACTTTCTTATTGGTCTTTCTTGAAAACTTTGGCGCAAAAATATTTTTCTGAAATCCATGCACACAAGACATCTTTTTAAAAGTTCATGAAAATGAGTATTACCAGAACAAAGGCTATGCATGAATGTCAAAGATTTTTCTGCACCATAATAAACTTATCTTTTACCTACATTTTCCATGAAATCTTTGAGGTGCCCTTATATACTCACACAAGGCCGAGTCCCGGGATGTGCTCTGTAAACTGTCGAGTTGTAGATGCGAATGGATCGTGCTCTTGTGACTGTTTCTGTGCTGTTGTGGAGTCACCCACACACACTGTGACTGCTGAGCAAAGTCACACTCAAGGGAGTGAGGGAATCAGATGGGGAGAGAAAGCGCGGAGGGGTGACTCAGAAAATAGTGAAAGAAGGTCGTCAAGGAAACAGAAGAGGAAGAGAAGGGAAGGGGAAGGAGGTGAGGGGGTGAAAGCCCACTTCATCTGGGCATGCCTGAGAGCCCCGGAGTTCCAGCCCTTCTGCGTCTCCCTGACTGTGGCCTCTGTTGGGTTCTCTCTTTGGGGCACCCGTATCATTCACCTTAATCTCAACACCTGTGGCCTTTGACAAAGGCGTTCTCCCAAAGTAAGGCACCACCTGTGACTGACAATGTAATGTGACAGTTTAGCACTGTGATTGTTTCAGGGAAGGGCAAAGGGGTGTGTGTGTGTGTGCATGTATGTACACCTGTGTGTGTGCATGTGTGTATGCGTGCATGCATGCACATCGTGTGTGCCCATATATGTGCACACATGCAAATGTGCGTGAATGTGGACTGCTGTGTGTGCGCAGATGTGTGTTCATACATGTGCACACACATGTGTGTACCTCTGTGTGTGTGTGTGTGTGTGTGTGTGTGTGTGAAGCTGTGCTGCTGGAGCTGCAGCTGCCAGGTTGTCAGGCTGGAGAGTGGCAGAAGAAGTGAAGAAGGTTTGCTAGCGCCCCTGAGTCGTTCCTGGTCGCCCACTGCAACAGCATCTTTGCACTAACCTCTCAGGGAGGACAGCACGGGGCCAGTGGCCACGATGCTACACTGCTCTAAAGAATCCTCTCGGTGCAGAGTGGAAGGGCTGTGACTTAGGGCTGTCACGGGCTGAGTCAGGCAGTGCTGGAGCACGTGTCCAGCATCCGTCCCTCGCTGGACGACCGCCGCTGAAGTCACGCCCGCTTTCCGCGTGCTCTGTGTCCACCGCCAGCCCCGGCACCCCTTTTGCCCTCTCACGTCTCCTCTCGTGCAGATGGAAGGATAACCCGGCAATGCCCATGGGGCTGATCTACGAAGGCGTCTCGGAAGAACCCCTGCAGTACTCTGGGGGGAGTGCAGCTCAGAGCACCGTGCTCCACGCCGTGGACGAGTTCTTAGGCATTCGCCACAGCCAGGAAAGCGGTGAGTCACTTTTTAAAAATTTGCTTTTTTTTTAAATTTTCATAAAGAGTAAAGGAAGGATAAACAAAGAGGTGTTTTTAAGCAGGCGGTAAAACCAGTGTAGAGGAAAATGCCATAAGGTCCATACTTCCCGTCAAACAGGAAGTGGTGTGTTTTCCTTTCGTTACTGTGTCAAGTCCATCGAGAGCTGATCTCCAGGTAGTACCTGCTTTCATTTCCAAATCTGAAAACGTTTCCGAATTCCCAGCTGTTCGCTGACTTGGGGTTGGGTTCCTGGGCAGTAGCTCTGTCTTCTGACATGGAGGTGAGATCTGGAGTTTAAAGCCTGGGAGGCCATGTGGGTGAGCCTGGAGCCGGCCACCTTGGACCTTGCCTCCTCCACTGAAACCCACCCTCAACGGTAGAACATTTGGAGAAACCCGCTTAGACCAGATGATGAATTTGGTGCTTCAGAGGCTGGAGATTTGCCTGCCTCAAACGAAGGGCTTGCCAGATGCAAAAATGGGACCTCTTCTTGCAAAGTTTTCCAGCTGGATTGGGGGAGAAATCACTGGAACTTTGGGTGAGGGAGTCCCATGTCACCCCCGAATGTCCATTCTCTAGAACTGGGATAATTTTTCATGGATTTGTGTATTTGGTGAGGTTCATAGTTGATTGACCATGCTTAGCACTAAGCATGCAATGAACTGTCTGCAAACAGCTATTATTTTTAAACAACTTCGCTTCCAGAGCCTGTTACTGAAACAGTTGTTCATCCTTTGTCTCTCGGCCCTTCTACGCCCTATAAATTCTCTCCTCCTGAGCACGACTTTCAAAACAACGTGCTCAGGAAACAAAATCCTCTGGAATATTTAGCTGATCAGTTAGAGGCAGGTTTTTACGTCGGGGGACACCCCTCACAATGGCCAGCAACTGGTCATTTGGCCCTCCTTTGGCCGATGATAAATATCTGCAGGCTAGCTGACAGGTCTGATTCCAATTCAGTGATTGGAATGTCTTTGCTGCTTTGACTGTCAACAGTCCAAAACACGCATGTGAGTGGTGAAGTTTGGGAGGCTATGTGGGTGAGCCTGGTGCGGGCAAGTATACTGGGTAAGAGCCCCAGCAGCTAGCATATGGGGAAGGCCACCAGCAACAGTGACTGGTGCTCCACCTCTAGGAGAGCAGGGCAGGCGGCCCTGGATTTCCTAGTGCAGCTCTGATGTTGCCCTGGGCTTTTTCTTTCAGCTGATTTCCTGTGCAGGATGAGAGACTACATGCCGCCTTCTCATAAAGCCTTCCTAGAAGACATCCACTCGGCTCCTTCCCTGAGGGACCACGTCCTGTCCTCCGGCCATGGCCCCCTTCGGACAGCCTATAACCAGTGTCTGGAGACCCTGGCAGAGCTGCGTAGCTATCACATCACCATAGTAACCAAATACCTTGTCACAGCAGCAGCGAGAGCAAAGAGCAGAGGGTTGAGCCCCCTCCCCGGGCCACCACGGGCTTTGGAAGACAGGGGCACGGGCGGAACTCAAGTTCTGAGCTTCCTGAAGAGCGTCAGGAACAGGACCTTGGAGATGATCCTCCAGCCGAGTGGCTGAGCGTCTTGCCTGCTCCCCTGCCATGCACAGCTCTTGCGGAGGGCAAGAGAACACGGGTGCGAAAGGGACCTCAGCCCCGTGCCTGTCTCACTCAGCTGTCATCTCAGAGTTTCACTGGATGGGGATGCCCCATTCTCTTCCAACACCTAAATTTCAACAAATACATTTGCCAATAAACAGATCACCTTCTTGATTTCTTTAACAAAACAAATTCCCTTAATGATCTATTGAGTTCCTACTAAGCATTGGCTCAGAGCTTGGTGAAGCTCTCTTCCTCCTGAACATGCTATTTTGTGGCAGGAGGTTGGAGGTGCGGAGGGAAGAGAATGTGCACAGTAAAGATTTGGAAGTCACCAGCAAAGAAGAAGTGGTTCATGACATAGAAGAGAATTTTCCTCATGGTGGATAGACTTGCAAGGTCTATTTTAATTCCTTTATTTTCAGAAGAATTAGTCTTTCTCCTTACACTGAAAACTCTGTGTTTGCAAAATGAGTGAACTGACCCTTTGGAAGCAAATGCTAAATCGCCATGTTTAGTTACGTAGAGAAATGCCACTATTTTTACTGACCTTGTTTCTACATCAAGATCTCATTCAGCCTGACAGTAGAAAACCAGAAATCTCGAGTCACATCAATTTAGAGTAAATTCTGTTAAGGTAGGGTCGCCCTCCACCAGGCACCCAGAAATGTACTGAGACGGCATCAAAATTCCACTGGTCCTGCTAGTGTCAGAGTGTCAGGGAGAAGTACCAGACCACTGAGAAAGTTCTCTCCAAGCTAGCATGTTACAAAGGCCCCACCCCCACGAACACTGGTCGTGTTAGGTAGCCGGCATGCCCCATCCTGTCTAAAATGTCTTCCGGGGCAGGCATTTGGCCTATCAGTTAAGACATGGATCAGGCTGCCCACATGCCCCACTGGAGTGCCAGGGTTCGATTCCCGAGTCTGACTCCTGATTCCAACTCCATGCAAATACAGACCCTGGGAGACAGTAGTGATGGCTCCAGTAATGGGGCTCCGGCCAACTATGGGAGATCTGCATTGATCTGGTTTTGACCGTAACCCAGCCCACCCACTGTGGGCCTTTGGAGAGTGAACCGACAGATGGTAGAGCTGTCTCTCTGATTCTCTCAAGTATACATGGTGCTAGCAAGGTCGCATCATGACACTTGAAAAACATTTATCTCTTCCTTTATTTCCTAGGAGGATGTGGGTACTGTATACAAGGCTGGCTCCCAGCATCTGCCCAGCCCCCATCACAACCATCTCCATCCTGCAGTGCCAGTGGGTGGGAGGAGAATTCTGACTGCTGTCACCTCTCAGGGCCCTTTGGTAAGAAGACATAAGCCGGTGTCCTCCACCAGGGTACTGATGGAATTTTATTGTCTCATATCCCCAGGGTTTGGCTGGACAAAGTTGAGGCACAGGACACACCAGGGCTAAGGAGCTTCTCTGAGGCATTCACCCATGTTCTTCCCTGCACGTGCCTCTACTTCTCCTCCTGTAATTCAAAGGGAAGAATCTTTTCAGAGTCTGAATGGACCAAGGGAAAGCAGGTCTGGCAATGTCTTCTTGAATATTGGTTAGGTGAGAGTTGTCCCATCTCAAAAGCCCTTTCTCTCCACATGCTGTCTTGGTCTTGTGTGGTGTGTGTGTGTGTGTGTGTGTGTTAAGATTAATTTTATTTATTTGAAAAGCAGAATTAACAGAAAGAGAGAGAGAGAGAGAGAGAAATATATAGAGAGAGAGATCTTCCATCTGTTGGTTTACTCCCCAAATGGTCACAACATCTGGAGCTAGGCCAATCCAAAGCCAGGAGTCAGGAGCTTCCTCTAGGTCTCCTATGTGGGTGCAGGGGTCCAAGTACTTGGGCCATCTTCCACTGCTTTCCCAAGCACATTAGTGAGGAGCTGGGTCAGAAGTGGAGCAGCCGGGACTTGAACTGGTGCCCATATGGGATGCCGGCACTGCAGGTGGTGGCTTTACCTGCTACACCACAGCACTGACCACTCCTTATGCTCTTAACATCTGTGTATATAAAATACATGAAATTCTTCCCTTTATATAAATTTATTTAAAATTAAAAAAATCTGTTCCCCAGGAATGCTCAGAATAATGTTTGAACACCTTTATCTGGGCACCATTGCCCAGCCCGAGCTGACACAGAAAAGAAACCACAGCTTCCCGGGGGGGGGGGGGGCGTGAATGATGGGAAGGTGTGGCACCTGACACACTCTCCCTGTACTCTCCAGTAGAGAGAGGCGGTGCTCCTTGCATTATGACGGTGAGGAGTGAGGGGAAGGGATGCCTGGAGGCTGGGGCAGCAGCTTCTGAGAGGAGAGGGCACCTCCCTGACCACCTGCTTTAGCTCACAGCCAGAGGCTCTCCATGCTGGGCGCCGGGCAGGAAATGTCTCTTCATGAAAACAAAAGCTCAACGTCTGAGGCTGGGGAAGAGGGGCACATCTTCACCTGGGGTGAGGGGTTGCGTTCCTGATGCTCTAACCCCTGCAGGTTCACCTTCACCTTGGCTGCCCACGTGTCTAACCACTGCCCGTGAGAAGCAGACTCTCCAAATGTCTGCAATGGCTGGGGCTGGGACCAGCTAAAGCCGGAAGCCAGGGAGTTAATCCCAGGCCCCTTCATAGGCAACAGGGATCCAATTACTGGAGCTGTCACCTGCTGCCTCCCAGAGTGCATGCCGGCAAAAAGCTGGAGTTGGCAAGCAGCGCCGAAACTCTAACCGAGGCTCTCTACTACGGCACGTGCGCATCTTTACCGCCAGACACTCACCCGATTCCTTTTAACCTTGAGGCTGGGACTGGTTTGCAAAGTTTAATTAGACTTTAAGAAAACTGAGGGTGATGTACAAAGCAAACAGAAACAGTAAAGAAACCGCAACTGGCTAGGGTGGCTCACACGTGTTGGATACTCTGTGGCCCCTGGGCCAGCTCTGGGAGGTCAGGACCCCTCCCACAGGACACAGAGACCACGCGACTTACAGACTCGGGGTCACCACGGGAACGCTCACCGACTGCGCTCCCCTCCCTCACTGTTAGTCTGAAATCTGCTTTGAGTTGCCTCCGGATCAGGACTAAAACTGAAATTAAACTGATGGAGGAAGAAAGGAGGAAAGAGAAGTGACAGGAGGAGATGAGGGAAGGAGAGAGGAAGAGTGGGGTGGAAAAGGAAGAATACTTAAAAAACGGTTTGGGGCCAGCATGGTGGCACAGTGGGTAAAGCCATCGCCTGCAGTGCCGGCATCCCATATGGGCGCCAGTTCTAGTCCCAGCTGCTCCACTTCCGATCCAGCTCTCTGCTATGGCCTGGGAAAGCAGTGGAAGATGGCCCAAGTCCTTGGGCCCCTGCACCTGCGTGGGAAACCTGGAAGAAGCTCCTGGTTCCTGGCTTTGGATCAGCGCAGCTCTGGCCGTTGCAGCCGTTTAGGGAATGAACCAGCAGATGGAAGATCCCTCTGTCTCTCTCTCCTCTCTCTCTCTCTCTCTCTCTCTCTTTGCAACTTTGCCTCTTTGTAACTCTGCCTTTCAAATAAATAGATAAGTCTTTAAAAACATGGTTGAATGGTTTAAGATCTGGAGCAAGGAACTTTCTGTGTCTACCAATCATTGCTTCCATAAGCGCACTTCACTTACCAAGTCTTGCCTTGCATGTTCTTGGGCACAGGTGTCCTATTTGCTTTGCTAATGAAAGAAACACTCTTTTTTTCCCCCCTTCTCTTCACAGTGAACTTAATAAAAAAGTTGGATATTGGATGTCGTTGTTTCGGAAATCCACTCGCCGATTCGTTTTTGCCATTTAGCATCTGCTCCCCAGTAATATTTTTAGGATGAGTTCTTGCGTGTAAGCATCATCGAAAAATAAATGAAGTGTTTTTTTCAAAGTAATTTCCTTTGTAAACTGACAAATCTAGGAGACCACGTGCTTCTGTGGCAGCTGTGTTGATGTCAGCCCAAGCTCCATGGCGCGCTTGTTTTTAACTGTCTCCTTGCAGGGGCTTCTCCTGCACTGGTGGTGGAAACCGGCAGCCCACAGGGGTCTGCCCTGGGGGTGTCTACTGTTTAGAAAACCAACCAGGGACATGGCATACCAGACAAAATTACAGAAATACCACTAATGCTAATAACAGAACAATGATGCGCATTTATGCTTCCATTTGTCATAAGAGTTGGCTATGAGCTGCCGATGTCAGCTTTTGGGCGAAGAGCCACGACGCTGACTGTGCAAGATTCATGTCATTGGGATTTCATGCTATGTTGATTCTAATCCCCATTTTTCGAGGCCTGCTGTATAGTTTCGGCACGTTTTCCTTGATCTTTTGATGGAAGACGAAAGGTGGGGGCTTCAGTGTCCTGATGGAGGGTTGTCCGGGACGTGGGACTCCCAGTGCAAAGACGAGGACAGACCTGGACAAGACCTGCTGGTGGCCCTCATTGCCTCCCAAGAGTCCCAAACCACTGCCACCACTGGACTGTGCTCTGAGTACCTGCACCCCTAGAATTCTTGGCACAAACAGTCTCAAGGACATTCCTGGGGCCTCACAGTCTCCTCTCTGCATTGGCTTTTGAGGGGGCTTCTGGTATTTATTTTCCACCAGTGTGTAGGGAGGAGGGGGATCTGTAGGAGTGTGCAGATGGAACTTAGCCCCGTGGACTGGGGCGTTTGCACGCATGATGGAGCAAGTCCCTGGGGGTGTGAACCAGAGAAGGATTGGGAAAAGTGGAGCCGGGATCTGCGAACAACTGTCTCCAGGGCTCCATGTTTGACAGGGGATTCTAAGGAATCAGAATTTTCGTGTGAATCTCGACCTCTGGGTGCTTATGCAGGTAAGATGATAGAGTCTCTTTTATTGAGTGGCTTTCTGGAAACGGTAGGCCAATGTCCCTGGCGAGCAAGGTGGTAGGGAGTGGCTAGCAGTCTACTGCATTTTTATCTTAGTTTGTAGGTCTCATCCATGACCACAGGAGGGCAGTAGCAGCCTGCACTACTAAGCTCCAAGCACCTGACAAAGTATAGGCTCTCATATAACCTCCTAGGCCAAATGGTTTCCTTGATTTGGGAAATACCTCTTTCTCTCTCAGTAGCAGGGCTGGGAGGGCCTTCAAAATTACCTGACCCAAGGCCTTTCGCCCAGACAGAACCCCATTAAAACAAGCCAGATGGA